GAAGCTTTGCGCCTCAAAGGCTGCTGCGGCTGGTCCAGAACAGCTTAAAATCCAGAGCCTGATGCTTGTTGTGCTGTGGCCGGCAGATTGCTGACCAGAGGAGCCCTGTGGTCGGCAGTGTCCTGAAGGCCAGCACATGACGGGAACGTCGAGAACTAATGGAGACCGACCAGAGCAAGGGGAAGTGGGCAAGTCAGGAGAAGAGTGGAGGTGGAGAGGGCGGAGGAGGACAGTGGACACTTGAAGCAGCGGCAGAAATAGAAGCAGTGGCTGCAGCTGCCACAGTGAAAAATGAGGGCAAGAAAGCAGACCCTGACAGTGGAGGAGACTAATTTAGTGGCTGTAGGACAGGTGGCAGCTCTGCACCTAAGAGACCCTTAAGAATAGCACTGTGACAAGCAGGTTCTGTGTTTTTGACAAAATAAGCATTATCCTGTGAAAGCGGAGGGGAAGGGGATCACCAGAAAACCTGTGACGGGCGGCGTTTTCAAGAATGACGTGGGTGTCAGGCATCAGGGGTTGATGCTGGTGAGCCCACACACCTGCCATGATGGTACAGTCACGGCTCGTAGTAACCTTTCTGGAGTCACCAAGTAGAGAGCACATCCGTTCAGCGCTCTCAGTTTAAAGATGGGTAGTATATATCATTCTCTAGAAATTTTTCCATCAGGAAGTTATTGAAGTGTCAAAATTGTTTAACTTTGCCTTCCTAGCCTATTCCTATCGCTCAAATGATATAGGTCAGTGTTTCCTAATCGATTCTTCGGATCACTTATGACCCTAGGGGGCAAACAGGAGCCCCTTGGAAAGACCCTTGGCAAATAGGGCTTTCGAGTCATTGACTTTGGGAAATGCCTGTCTTGTTGAAACATAGTATACATTAGTGTACAAAAGGCTCTGAAAAGCCTTGGAGAAATCCAGTGTTTTTCAAACTTACTTGACTAGGGAACCCTTTTTCCTTGGACTGTTTTATGGGATGCTACTGTCTGCAGAATACAATTTAGGAAATACTGGTTTGGGTTAATCTGGAAGTTCTGTAATGAGACCATATTATGTATAACCTCAGGAGAATTGGATAGGGGGTCCTGGCGCCCCTCAGAACCTGTTCTGTCTTCTTGCTGAAAAAAATGAGACCTGAGGATCGATGTCCCATATCAGCCTTATCTAGAGCATCCTGCTTTTGTAAACCTGCTGAATGGTGATTCACAATTACCCAGGTGAGGGCTGGTGATGAAGCACTTTGGTTCATAGTGGCTCCCATTGGCTGTCAGGTTACAGAGAGGACTGATAATAACTGGGGATACTTATGCCAGGAAGACCTAAAGGACCTCCAGAGCAAGCATTGCCTCTGAGTCTGTAGGTGAATCTGAGGGCAGCTCTGGTGGACCTGCCTTGCTCGTGCCCACGGGTAGGCCTGACATTCACATGCTTTCCTTGTTCGTGTCTCCCTTCAAGGCTATGCTGGCGCCACGCACTGGAAGGTCTACATTATAGCCAGAGGGGTCCAGCCTTTGGTCATTTGTGATGGAACCACCCTCTCAGAACTGTAGGAAACAGAACTAAAGGAACAGGGTTGAGACCTGAAGACCGGATCGAAAGGGGGAAAATAAAAACAAAAAATGATGAAACCACTTTCCAGGGGTTGGTTGCTTAGTTACCTGCCCTGTGCATGCGTGTGTGAGCCAGTTGTGTGCTGGAAGCAAAGGCCAGAGCCCAGCCCTCCCAACTCTTCCAGCCCAGCTGCTTGGCCAGGACCTTGCCAATACCCATCTGTGAGAGACTGGCCTCTTCCAGGCCTTTTGGCACCAAAGCCTTGAGGCTGCCCTTCAGGCAGGGAGCACGGTTGATACCTTCCCTCACTTGCATGACATGATCCCCTCTGCTGGCTCCCTGGCCACGAGAGGGCAGTCACCAGGTCCTGACTTTAGAGCCATCCTCTACCAGGTGGGCCTGCCTGTCCTCTCTTCCTGGTCACACCACCCTGTACTTTTTTTGGAAAGCCATGGATGATTAAAGAAGTCATTGCAGTTTCCCAAGCAGAATGGAATCTAGAACTGGTGAAAAAGGATCAAATAACCTCAAACTGCACTCAATAAGTGCACTTCTTTCCCAGTGTCCATGGCTCTTGGAGTATCAGCGATGCCAGGTCGGAGTCTGATTGTAATTGAAATGGTAATTCCTAAGGTAATATTTGTCTCCATTCTATCAGTTCTTATGCCTCTCCCCTCCCTCCCCTTCTCCCTTGCCTATCTGGATGGCTTCTCAGAAGTTGGGCTCCTGGTCCCCCTCCCTTGGATGGGCCAGCACCCTTTACTGCTGAGGCAGCACTGCTCTTGTCAACTATGTTGCTTTTACCAAATATCTTCGTGGGGGAGAGGGTGCCTCCCCAGGTTTGATCTTTAGGATCCAACTTCCTGCAGGAAAGATGTTTTACAGATGTGTCAAGCTGATGTTGTAATGTGGTTGGGGAAGGAACTCCAGACCCAGAGTGTTGGCCGGCTGGGCGTACGACTGTGTGACCCTCTGTCTTGAAATGATTTCTCTCTCTGTACTGGGAGCCAAGGTGAGGTGTTTTTATTTTTTGTGAAATTATAAAATCATGTTCTTTTGATTGGATGATTCACTATGCTGTTTTCCCCAAGTGCTTTTAGTGTGTCTTAAGTGTGTAAAGAAGGACACCCTTTTCTTGTTTCCTTTTTCCCTTTATTATTCGTTTATCGACTCTTAAAAATCTGGCTTCTGATCATGCCATTGCCAAGTTGAAGAAAAAGCAAACCACACTGCAGCCCTGGTTCTGAACTGCAGAAATCAAACAGATACTGGAGGTGTCTGTGTCGAGTTACAGACCAGAGGCAGACAGTGGTGAGGGAAGAGGGTGGGTGTGACTCCTTATGGGGTCTTCTTCATCCTTGCAGGCACCCCTGCACCTTGCCCCCAGGCCCTCTTTCTCTACACATCTCACGAGCAGCAGTGAGGATCGTCAGTTGCTTGAGTGGCCTGTGTGTGGGCTTGTAAAGGACACGGAGGGTTCGCAGAGTCCAGGGTAGAAAAGCTCAGAGCCTCCTCCACGGTCTTGAGTGAAACTAGGATGAATTGTACCTGAGGGAATTTTTCCTTAAAAGAATCAGGGCTTGTGTGAATTGATACAGGGAAAACAAAACTTTGTGTCCATATGAAAGTCATGCTGCTAAGCAGTTTAAGAGGTTTTAGATCAGAGAGATCATTCGGAGGCCAGCTTTGTGCAAGTTTTTCGAGCCTTTTCAGTGTCCTTACCCCTACTGCATAAGGGGAAGGTTTATACGCAAACAAGTTTAGAAACCTCGCAGCGTTTTTCTTAAATTAGGTCCTCTGGGTTAACAAAAGACAGGGTTCCTTAGGAGCAAAGCAACTGTTTTGTTGATGGAAATTTCTGTGTTTATGAATTACCCTGTGTTCCTTCCCCATTTTACTCCAGTCCTTTACACCTTAAATGTTTATAAAATACCTTCCTCAGCTCAAAACTGAAAAACCCTTGTATGTGTTGGTGTTCTGAGGCATCCTCTGGGAGGTCCCCTGAGCTGTCTACAGTTCAACAAAGAATGGTATGGCAGCAGATAAGTAGAGACTTTTAAAAATCATTTAAAAATCTGTCCAGTTCAGAATTGAATATAGATTTATGTTAGGGGAGAAGTTCTCCAAAGAGGTTTTCCACTTTTAATTACTGGATGCTGAGAAGTAATTCACCTTTTTCTCGAGGTAATTCTGAAAAGCAGAATCTGCCACTGACCAGTCAATGATTAATGGGTTGCCGGCCAGTTCCTTTCTAGTTATCCAAGTCTTTGTGTGAGGGTGCCGCAGGATCTCCCCTGCTCACCTAGCTCTCAGCTAGCTCCTCCATTGAAGCAGCAAAAGTCCCTCCACGTTTCCCGGTGTGGGAAAAGGGTCATAAAGATGAGGAAACAGGGTCGGGGGGCTGGTGGGACCACATAACTCCCCATCTCTACCACCACAGTAAGAGCAAAACTGCAGAGCTTGCTTTAAACAGAGGGACTTGCTCTCATGAATTTGAGTTGTTTAGTAGGAGGTCACGTGGCGGTGACCTCCACGCATGGGTTAGGTTCCCTTTCTTGTCAGTTCCCAGAGCAGAGGCTCGTGTCCCCAGAATTCAGCTCTCAGGGGAGAAAGGCTGCTTTGGCACCAGTTTGAAGTATTATATCCAGGTGTCCTGAGGTCCCCAGGAGTCAGGTGTTGAACAGACTCTACAACTGTTCTGGCTTATGAAGAGAGGTAGAACTTATCCTCTCGCCACTCTCAATTTTTCAAGGAAGGGAGAGAGTGAAATAACTGGTTTATGAAAACAGAATCTGCCTCTTCGGCAAAATACAAAACGTCTATGAAGTGGACAAATTTGGGGTCATTTTCTGAGAGAAAGAAATAGTAACATTTGTCCAGTCCATTCCAGCTTGAGTGTCTCTAGGGGCTTCCCTGGTGGCACAGTGGTTTAGAATCCGCCTGCCAACGCAGGGGACATGGGTTTGAGACCTGGTCCGGGAAGATTCCACATGCCGCAGAGCAACTAAGACCGTGCACCACAACTACTGAGCCCGTGTGCCACAACTACTGAGCCTGTGCGCCTAGAGCCCGTGCTCCGCAACAAGGAGAAGCCACTGCAATGAGAAGCGCATGCACCACAGAGAAAAGTAGCCCCTGCTCGCTACAGCTAGAGACAGCCCGCGTGCAGCAACAAAGACCCAACACAGTCAAAAAAAAAAAAAAAAATTAATTAAAAAAAAAAAGTGTCTCGATATACATGATCTCTGATCTTTTGTCAGTCCTGTAAAGCAGGTATTAGATCCTCATTTTACAAGTAAAGAAACTGGGGCTGAGGACTGTCCTGTAGATGGCTGGTTCCACCAATAATGGTTCCACATTATTTTCCTGCTACAGCAAGTATGGTGCCCAGGAATGAAGCTGTGGGTTTAATTGACTCAGGTGTGCCCAGCCAGGTAGGAGAACCTAGGGGCAGGGTCAGCAAGCCGGGAACTCTTCAGGGTTTGTCTTCAAAACTGTTTTAGCCAGAAATGGAGAGAATCTAACAGATGACTTTTATTAAAAGCCTTTCACTTTTTCCCTCCCCATCTGAAAGCTCTTTTAAGAGTGAATGTGGCTGGAACACAACCATGTCCAGCCATCTTCCCATCACCACAAGTTTCCAGATGTGTGATCAGAAGAAGGACTCTGCCCAATTCCGGTTGTGGGTCCCCTTGGAGTTTACATCACTTGTTTTTGAGTTCTCGGTTTTCTATTCCCTTCTTCCAAAACCCAGCATACACCTCAGTGTAGGAACAATTATTTTAAAACAAAAGAGTTCCTCAGCTGCAGGTGATGGCCTCAGTCATTTTAATACAGTCTAGATGATATTTTGCTCATTAACCAGTGCCTTCCATAGTGAAAATTCAAAACCTCAAAGCAGATGTTTGCTTCTCGTCTAATCCTTGTCCAGCAGAAGGCCAGGTCGTAGGGGAAAGTGAAGTCTGGTTGCAAGGAGAAAGATGCTCTTGTCTACCTTTTGAGAATCAATTATTAAACAGGAATCTCTTAGGCTTTTGAGTTCTCCTATCGATGGAAGAAAAACTCTCCTGAGTTACAAGTTTCACACTCATTAACTTTCATTTTTAAACTTTTTCACCTACTAAAATTGGTTGAAGGACGGGAGTGCCAGAGATGTGCTTTAAAATAGCATTTTGGTTTGAGAGTCTCTCCACGTTTGGACCTGCGTATATTGGGTCCAGAGCAGACACATGTCTGAGCCAGGAGGCTATGAAGGTCAGGCGCTTATGGAGAGAGCCCTGTCACAAATGAAAAACGGGAGGCTCTGGGAACTGCTGTGTCGCCGTCAGCCTCCCCATATCTCCAGCAGCTTCTTCTGCAAAAGCATCTCAGAGAAGATGGACGGGCGGTCTCCCTTGTGCACCACATCCAAGTCCACCCACCGGGCGCAACGTGGCTTTAAGTGCTGGCCTTGGTGAGAAACCTTCCAGCCAGCTCGTCTATGGTCCAGGCCCTCTAGTGTCTGGTTTCCCTGTCCTGCATAATTTAAGCATTAGAGCTATAAATCTGTCATTTCTCCCTCTCTGGAGACTGTGAAATGTCCAGCCCTCTTCAGAATAGTAGAGAGAAGAAATGTTAACTGCAAGTGGAGGCCTGGAACTGTCCAGACATGGTGGGGCTGCCCACAGGCCATTCCTCCTGTCTTCATGCAGCTGAAATCTGTCCGTCAGACCACATCAATCCAAGAGTGAGCCACAGCTGCAAGCACCCGTGCTGAGGAGGGAAACCAATTTAGAGTTTTCAGACAGAAATTGGAGTGTCGGGACATCTGCTTTGTGCCAGGCATAATTGTCCTCATTATTCCTAACAACAGCTCTGTGGGGTAGGTGAGGTCAGCAGTGTCCCACCCTTCAAACTTGAGCCCCTCAGAGCACTTCCAGCCTTTCAAGGAACAAACTCGCACTTAACCTATGAGAATTGGTGACGGAAACTGACAGACCTGTGGCATTCCCAGAGAAGCCCCAGCCTCATAGGCGACTTTCCCTCCAAACTTCTCTCCATAGTTTCACCCTCAGAAAAGTGCTGGCTGTGGTCTCTTCCTCCCCCTCCCTCCTGGGGAAAGGTCAGTAACAGACGCCT